AAAAGTTCCCTCGGGTATTCCTTCATATGGGCCATCAGACCACCTCCCTGCTGTAGCCATGTGTATGGTGCCATAATTACCCAGGGCAGCACGTATGTCAGTCACATCAGCCTCAAAGGGTACGTTTCTGACTTTTACCCATGTATAATGTCGGGATGCATCGTGTAGCTTCACAGACACAGCCTGGTTAACCACTAGATTAACCTCCTGATACTTGTCAACGACTGCCTCGTAAACATGAGCTGAGCAAAACTTTACAAAGATTTTAGTCACACCATTCATCGCTACACCGCACAAATCCTCGTTGGCGATACCATAGGTGTCTGATTATCGCTGGCAATAATATCGCCGTTGATGGTCCAATCACTGCCCCACGAGTTAATTCCAAACACAGCGTTGACGCAGCGTCTGCCTGCCTGCGCCATGTTGAGAAAATGGAACTGCCACCGAACAGCTATAGAGGGCAGCAGCGTAGAACACGTCCTCTCTACTCAATGGCTGAGAGACGAATGTTCCGATATTCATGTGGTCAATTAGGGTGGCTGAGAACTGTGTGATCCGGGTTGGTGTATTAATTAGTAGAGTGTAACTATTTAAACCTAGAATTTGTTTATACCTTTTGCATAACCCGTTATTTTGCTGCTGAAAACAGATATTGAAGTCGCCCAGTATTATTGTCTCCCAAATGTTTTCAAGTCTGCACACAAGACTGGAAAAATCTTCTAAGAACTGGTCCTGGGTGGGAGGGCGGTAACTAGTTCCTACTAAGATGGGTTTAGTCTTGGGGAGCAGCACTTCAAACCATAGAATCTCCAGTTTATTATTATATAAATCAGGTCTTGGGTTGTAAGCTAAGTCATTTCTAATGTAGGCACATACTCCACCACCCTTTCTGTTCCTATCTAAGCGTTTTATATTGTAACCTATTTTGACCTCGTCAGTCACCGTATCATCCAACCAGGATTCAGAGATGGATATAACTGCCGCCCTAATTTTGTTAGCTAGAATCCTAATCTCTGCCAACTTTGGAAGAAGTGATCTTGCGTTGACATGAATTAAGTGAAGGCCTGTTTTCATAAAACAATTATAATCATCAATATATGGCAATGAGTCATTAGTATTAAAATTAGGTAAATCAATGTCATCATTGCTAAAGGGTAACTGTGCCAAAGTGCATTTGTTACACAAAATGAATTCTGGCACCGTTACTATAATTGTAAATACATCCATCATGCGCCCACACCTTAAATATTTTACATAAGGTGCCTTTTCTGTTTTTCTTGCGTGCTTCAGTACAGTGTATGTACCTGTTTGGTGGTGTTTGGGATAATGGCTGTGTTGTCTCGCATTGACCTATGTATGCATTACATATGGAGTTAAGGTTATCATTCCTAGCTACTAGACAGTCATTAACACCGTCATTTATCTGTCTGTTTTGCCTCTGCACAATAGTTTGAGGTCCTGGAATAATTTTGATATCACCACTTAAGAGCGCTACAATAAGAGCTGTGTGGCGCTGTTTTTGTTTGGGTATGCGGTGATGCCATATCTTGCGGCGATAGTGACATTTGTTTTTGGTAGCCTGGAATTTACCTGGAGAGAGTTCCGGGGGTCAACGCCCCCGCGGCCCGGTCTGTGACCAGGCCTCCTGATGGACCAGAGCCTGATCAACCAGGCTTTTACTGCTGGCTGCACGCAAACCAACGTACGAACCACAGCCCGGCTGGTCAGGTACCGACTTTAGGTGCTTGTCCAGTGCCAGCTTGAAGACTGCCAGGGGTCTGTTGGTAATCCCCCTTATGTATGCTGGGAGGCAGTTGAACAGTCTCGGGCCCCTGACACTTATTGTATTGTCTCTTAACGTGCTAGTGACACCCCTGCTTTTCATTGGGGGGATGTTGCATCGTCTGCCAAGTCTTTTGCTTTCGTAGTGAGTGATTTTCGTGTGCAAGTTCGGTACTAGTCCCTCTAGGATTTTCCAGGTGTATATAATCATGTATCTCTCCCTCCTGCATTCCAGGGAATACAGGTTCAGGAACTTCAAGCGCTCCCAGTAATTGAGGTGTTTTATCTCCGTTATGCGCGCCGTGAAGGTTCTCTGTACATTTTCTAGGTCAGCAATTTCACCTGCCTTGAAAGGTGCTGTTAGTGTGCAGCAATATTCCAGCCTAGATAGAACAAGTGACCTGAAGTGTCATCATGGGCTTGGCATCCCTAGTTTTGAAGGTTCTCATTATCCATCCTGTCATTTTTCTAGCAGATGCGATTGATACAATGTTATGGTCCTGTCGGTATTATATACAATTCTTGTACTACTACTACTACTACTACTACTACCACTACTACTACTACCACTACTACTACCTCCACCTCTTCCTGCCTATATATAGCCGTCCTGCTCCTCCTCTGTTAGTGTGATTTTGTCAATGGTCCAAGTCGGACCGAAACGTCGTTGTAAGCTTCTGTCTTTTATGTGCGGGTTATTTGTGTATCGTTCCAGTCACGGTATTGTGCCTTTTTGTTATTTATGGTCCTTGAAAGTGAGATCCTCCGACATGATCACTCCCAGGTCTTTGACGTTGGCGTTTCGCTCTATTTTGTGGCCAGAATTTTTGTACTCTGATGAAGATTTAATTTCCTCGTGTTTACCATATCTGAGTAATTGAAATTTCTCATCGTTGAACTTCATATTGTTTTCTGCAGCCCACTGAAAGATTTGGTTGATGTCCGCCTGGAGCCTTGCAGTGTCTGCAATGGAAGACAATCATGCAGATTCAGGTGTCATCTGCAAATTAAAAGACTCAGTGGCTGTTGGGCTTTTACTGCCCAGGGTGCTATAACTCCATTCGCCCTTTCCAGCCCCCATGATTGATTTCTATCTTCATGGAATTGCAGGAAAGATGCATATAATTATGGCAGACTAATAGATATATTTGGCGTTTTCTGCTATGATTCTCACTGTACACTGGTCAGCTGAATATAGGTCAGCTACTAAAACATTAACTTTGACTATTTAACTATTCACTTCTTCCCTACAACTGGCACTGAGGGATAACCGTCCTATATCCTTGGAGTTTTGCATTGTTAATTTGACGATGTCTCCTGTGTTTCCCTCTCGTTATCACTGGTACAGGTGATACGATGGTGGTGCAGATATGATGCTACTGTCAGTACAGATGAACGTCAGTAAAGATGAGAACTTCACTTCGCTAGTTGTACGTCTGGCAAAAGCTGGTGTTGGGATGCCGGTCAGCAATGTTTAAATGCTCACTTCTTTCCCTCGTTTGGCACTGAGGGGAAAGTCCTACAGACCTGTCATTTCCTTGGAGTTTTGTTAGGTTTTCTGCCATGTCTTCCAGTTGAACACTGGTGAGGTTGATATGGAGGTCAGTTATTTCAATGTAGAAGATCGAGACACTTGTGCAACATATGGGAATCTTTATTCAGGAAACGTTTCGCGCCACAGTGGCTTCATCAGTCCAATACAAAGTAGAAAGGCGTAAGGAGAGCAGGATTTTGAGGTAATCAGCCCCTCAGCCTGGAGTCGATGTATTCAGTCCATCAATATTGTAGAATGTACCAAGATTGATGGACTGAACACAGACTCCAGGCTGAGGGACTGATAACCTCAAACTACTCCTCCTCCTTACGCCTTTCTACTTTGTGTTGGACTGATGAAGTCACTGTGTGGCGAAACGTTTCCTGAATAAAGATTCCCAAATGTTGCTTAAGTGTCTCAATCTTCAACTTGTCGGTTTTTAAAACCATTCATCACATATTTCAATGTAGTGGAGAACGTCTCGTGTCTGGTTCACGTCTGGCAGCAGGTCTGGTACTTGAATGCAGGTCCGTCTTTTGTCATATTTAGTCCATTTCGTTGTCACCGTCAGTTTTCATGTCACTATAGGTTCCTTGCATGTTGTTGCAGCAGTACTTGCAATTTGGCCATCACTGGAGTTCGGATAGACCCAGGGGACGGCAGGATATAGGAGCAGCCTTCTTGCTGCGGAAATCCATCAGCTAGTGTCTTAAGATAAGATAAGATTTCGTTCGGATTTTTAACCCCGGAGGGTTAGCTACCCAGGATAACCCAAAAAAGTCAGTGCGTCATCGAGGACCAACTTACTTTCATTGGGGTCCTTAATCTTGTCCCCCAGGATGCGACCCACACCAGTCGACTAACACCCAGGTACCTATTTGCTGCTAGGTGAACAGGACAACAGGTGTAAGGAAATGTGTCGAAATGTTTCCACCCGCCGGGAATCGAACCCGGGCCACCGGGGCATGTATTGTATTATATTGTCCAGACCAGAGCTTTGGTAAGATGGGTAAGGAAGAAGGATGGGTAAGGATAAAAATATTGGAAAAGGGTGGGAGGGGGGAGAGAGGTAGGATATAAAAGGTAAGTGGCCCAACCACTTTGGTGTAATTTTAAAAAGTGTATGTGAAATGTTAAGATATTCTTTAAGGGGTATAATACTAACCCATCAGTCACATAGATATAACAAATATATAAGTACATGACTCTGAATTGGTAGTAATTATACAAGTTTCAATTGCTTTTTTTTTCTATTGCACAACGGATATTTATGCGACAATGAAGGCAATAATTTTCTGGCCAGTTTATAGAATTACGTGACAATGGCTTCTTACAGGTGGTGTCCAGCCATAGTAAATAGCATCATTTTTACATTAGGCAATGTTAAGAATTTTAGACTCGCCATTGTTTGCTTTGCAAGACACTTATTATACTTGTAGTTACTGCGTAGAAATACTATGTTTTATTTAGGTGAGAAGAGCACTGTCTAAAGAGGAGTGATGTTGCAGTTTTGAGTTGTTTGAACTATATACATGTCCTGGGAATGAGTGAAGGAGTGAAAGTATTTTCTTTGTCAAGTCACACTACCTTGGTGAGTGTTAAATAATTTTAACTTTTAACAGTAGTTTTTTATAGTACATTTTGTAAAAATTACTTCAGATAATGTTTATTACTTTTACAGAACTGAAATTGATTGGGTTGAAGCCTGTATAATGGACAAGTCTCTTTGTCAAGTGGACAGTGAGGCCTCTAACTCCCATCTTTGACATTTTGAAGGGTAAGTTAACCCTACCCTACCCTTTTCCTGGTATACTCAGTAAACTTGTGCCTCTATAATTTTTACAATCTCTTTTGTCCCCCTCCCTATATATAAAGGGCTATACATGCTCTCTGCCAATCCCTAGGTACCTTCCCCTCTTTCAACAATACCAACCACTCCAACACAATATCCACCCCTGCTTTTAACATTTGTCAAGATCCCGTCAGTTCCAGTGCTTTACCCCTTATTTCTTAATGCCTCGCACACTGCACTGCCTTCTTCACCCTAAATGAGGTTACCCCCGGGGCATGAAAAAATTTTCTGCCTCCCTTTCTTCGTAACATTTAGTTCCTCAAAATTTCTCGCCATCTACCCAACCTCCAACTCGTCGCTAACTCCCCTACTGCTTTAATAACAAACCCATTCGTTCCCTGGTTTTCTTAACTTTTAACTCCCCCCAAAATTTTTTTTTTTTTATTTTCATTAAAATTTCTTCTCTCCCACTTTTCACCCGCTCTCTTTTGCACTCACCCGCAACCCCCCGGGAGGTACTAGTATCCGTCCTCCCAAGTGAGTGTAAAACAAAACTGAATTGTTTTAATGATGGGAGGATTGCGGGGTGTTTTTTGTCTCAAAATAGCAAGATTACAGGTACTCTTGCTACTTTCTTAGGTCACACTACACGTACATGACAGTTTATTTATACACACTTATCTGAGTTTTTTTAGATTTTATCTTAATGTTTTTGGTCTTATTACTTTCTTTTAATCCAGGGGAAGGGGAAAATAAAAATTTTTCCTCTGTAAGCCATGCTTTTGTAAAAATCAACAAAATCGGGAACAAGGGGCTGAAACCCCCTTTTCCCGGGAATTCTAAAAAGAATAAAAAAAGCACATCTTGCCTTTAAAAATTTTTTTTCCCCCGGTTTTGTTATGGTAATATATTTATTAAGGGGAAATCTTTAAAAAAAAGAAGGGTATAATTAAAAACTGCTGCATTGACGAACATTGTAAAATAAATGCTTAAATGGGGGCCCCCCTGTACACTGAAAATAATGAATTTTTTAAATTTTGGGAAAAATAAACGTGGGAGGATGTAGGGGTATGAAAATTCATCTACACAGAATTTTTACTTTTTTTATTTTCATAAAAAGATACTTTGGAATGTTTGGCAGTGAATACATACACATAAACGAACTTTTATTGTGGTGTTTCGTTTTCTGTGAGTTTTGTCAGGCTAATAGGCTTTATAATGCTCCTGGAGAGTGGAATGTAGCCTAGAGTTTACCTGGAGAGAGTTCCGGGGGTCAACGCCCCCGCGGCCCGGTCTGTGACCAGGCCTCCTGGTGGATCAGAGCCTGATCAACCAGGCTGTTACTGCACAATGTGGGTAATTTTCTAACATAATAGTTTGGAGGGATATGTTGTGTATCTTTATATGTGTATGCTTCTAGACTGTTGTATTCTGAGCACCTCTGCAAAAACAGTGATAATGTGTGAGTGTGGTGAAAGTGTTGAATGATGAAAGTATTTTCTTTTTGGGGATTTTCTTTCTTTTTTGGGTCACCCTGCCTCGGTGGGAGACGGCCGACTTGTTGAGAGAGAGAGAGGAGAGAGAGAGAGAGGAGAGAGAGAGAGAGAGAGAGAGAGAGAGAGAATGAGAGAGAGAATGAAGAGAGAGAATGAGAGAGAGAGAATGAGAGAGAGAGAATGAGAGAGAGAGAATGAGAGAGAGAGAATGAGAGAGAGAGAATGAGAGAGAGAGAATGAGGAGAGAATGAGAGAGAGAGAATGAGAGAGAGAGAATGAGAGAGAGAGAATGAGAGAGAGAGAATGAGAGAGAGATGAAGAGAGAGAGAGAATGAGGAGAGAGAAGATGAGAGAGAGAGAATGAGAGAGAGAGAATGAGGAGAGGAGGAGAATGAGAGAGAGAGAATGAGAGAGAGAGAGAGATGAGAGAGAAGAGAGAGAATGAGAGAAGAGAGAAGGAGAGAGAATGAGAGAGAGAGAATGAGAGAAAGAGAGAGAGAGATGAGAGAAAGAGAGAGAGAGAATGAGAGAAGAGATGAGAGGAGAGAGATGAGAAGAGGAGAGAGAATGAGAGAGAGAGAATGAGAGAGAGAGAATGAGAGAGAGAAGAAGAGAGAGAGAGAGAATGAGAGAGAGAATGAGAGAGAGAGAGAATGAGAGAGAGGAATGAGAGAGAGAATGGAGAGAGAGAATGAAGAGAGAGAGAGAATGAGAGAGAGAGAATGAGAGAGAGAGAATGAGAGAGAGAGAGAATGAGAGAGAGAGAGAGAATGAGAGAGAGAAGAATGAGAAGGAGAGAGAGAATGAGAGATGAGAGAGGAATGAGAAGAGAGAGAGAATGAGAGAGAGAGAGAATGAGGGAGAGAGAGAGAATGAGAGAGGAGAATGAGAAGATGAGGAGAATGAGAGAGAGAAGAATGAGAGAGAGAATGAGAGAGAGAATGAGAGAGAGAATGAGAGAGAATGAGAGAAGAGAGAGAGAGAGAATGAGAGAGAGAATGAGAGAGAATGAGAGAGAGAATGAGAGAATGAATGAGAGAATGAATGAGAGAGAGAATTGATGAGAGAGAGAATGAGAGAGAGAGAGAATGAGAGAGAGAGAGAATGAGAGAGAGAGAGAATGAGAGAGAGAGAATGAGAGAGAGAATGAGAGAGAGAATGAGAAGAGAGAGAAATGAGAGAGAGAGAGAATGAGAGGAGAGAAATGAGAGAGAGAGAGAATGAGAGAGAGAGAGAATGAGAGAGGAGAGAATGAGAGAGAGAATGAGAGAGAGAATGAGAGAGAGAATGAGAGAGAGAATGAGAGAGAGAATGAGAGAGAGAGAATGAGAGAGAGAAGAATGAGAGAGAGAGAGAATGAGAGAGAGAGAGAATGAGAGAGAGAGAGAATAGAGAGAGAGAGAATAGAGAGAGAGAATAGAGAGAGAGAAAGAGAGAGAATAGAGAGAGAATAGAGAGAGAGAGAATGAGAGAGAGAGAATGAGAGAGAGAGAATGAGAGAGAGAGAATGAGAGAGAGAATGAATGAATGAATGATTATGTAATATATATATATATATATATATATATATATATATATATATATATATATATATATATATATATATATAATTTATATTATATATATATATTATATATATATATTTATATATATATATATATATATATATATATATATATATATATATATATATATATATATATATATATATATATATATAACTTGCTAGAATGAGATTCAGTAGGACTGACAATACAACAAACTAAATGCTGAAGGTAGGCCACACAGAGCATAGCTTGATGTTAATACTTTGGTGGGAGGTCCCTTGCTCTGATTCAAGAAATTGGAGCTACACTTTCCTTACATTACACCTGGTTGCTTCCTAGGCACTGTAATGATCCCAGCAGGTAGTTTAGTGCTTCCCCAAGAATATAATGATAATCTGTTTTTTAAGTGGTTAATGTGCAATTACTTACACAGTATTTGTTTTACAGAAGCAATCGGAAGTTTCTGCGGCCCAGACCCCAGTGACCACTCTTGTCACAGCTCCAAAAAAGTGTCCACTTGATTTATCAGACGAGGAAATGAACATAGAGCCTGATGAGGATGCTTGGAAGGAGATTTTGGGTATGTTCATAAAGAAATCTTAAAAATGGACCTGTGCAGTAATGTTTATATATATTTATTTATTTATATTTATATTTTATACTTATACTTACTTAGGTCACACTACACATACATGTACATGTTTATTTACGCACACTCATCTGAGTTTTCTTTGATTTTATCTTAATAGTTCTTGGTCTTATTATTTTTATATCCATGGGGAAGTGGAATAAGAATCTTTCCTCCTTAAGCCATGCGTGTTGTAAAAGTCAACTAATATGCCGGGAACAATGGGCTAGTAACCCCTTTTCCTGTAAAGATTACTAAAAAGAATAAGAAGAAAATTGTCAAAGTGGGAAGTGTGAATGTGCGTGGATGTTGTGCAAATGATAAAGAAATGATTGTGGATATTATGAATGAGAAGAAACTGGATGTCCTGGCTTTAAGTGAAACAAAGCTGAAGGGGGTGGGAGAGATTCAATGGAGAGGAATAAATGGGATTAGGTCAGGGGTTTCAAATAGTTAGAGCTAAAGAAGGAGTAGCAATAATGTTGAAGGATAAGCTTTGGCAGGAAAAGAGGGACTACAAATGTATAAATTCAAGGATTATGTGGAGTAAAATAAAGATTGGATGTGAAAAGTGGGTTATAGTAAGCGTGTATGCACCTGGAGAAGAGAGAAGTGTAGAGAGAGAGAGATTCTGGGAAATGTGAGTGAATGCGTGGGGAGTTTTGAATCAAGTGTGAGAGTAATGGTGGTTGGGGATTTCAATGCTAAAGTGGGTAAAAATGTTAGAGGAAGTAGTAGGTAAATTTGGGATGCCAGGGGTAAATGTAAATGGGGAGCCTTTAATTGAGCTGTGCAGAAAGAAATTTGGTAATAAGTAATACATATTTTATGAAAAAGAGGTTAAATAAATATATGAGGTATGATGTAGCATCTAATGGAAGTACTTTGTTAGATTATGTATTGGTGGATAAAAGGTTGATGGGTAGGCTCCAGGATGTACATGTTTATAGAGGGGCAACTGATATATCCGATCATTTAGTTGTAGCTACAGTTAGAGTAAGAGGTAGATGGGAAAAGAGAAAGGTGGCAACAACAAGTAAGAGGGAGGTGAAAGTGTATAAACTAAGGGAGAAGGAAGTTCGGGCGAGATATAGGCGACTATTGGCAGAAAGGTGGGCTAGTGCAAAGATGAGTAGTGGGGGGGTTGAAGAGGGTTGGAATAGTTTTAAAAATGCAGTATTAGAATGTGGGGCAGAAGTTTGTGGTTATAGGAGGGTGGGGGCAGGAGGAAAGAGGAGTGATTGGTGGAATGATGAAGTAAAGGGTGTGATAAAAGAGAAAAAGGTAGCTTACGAGAGGTTTTTACAAAGCAGAAGGGTTAAAAGAAGAGCAAAGTATATGGAGAGTAAAAGAAAGGTGAAGAGAGTGGTGAGAGAGTGCAAAAGGAGAGCAGATGAAAGAGTGGGAGAGGCACTGTCAAGAAATTTTAATGAAAATAAGAAAAAAATTTGGAGCGAGTTAAACAAGTTAAGAAAGCCTAGGGAAAGTATGGATTTGTCAGTTAAAAATTAGAGTAGGGGAGTTAGTAGATGGGGAGAGGGAGGTATTAGGTAGATGGCGAGAATATTTTGAGGAACTTTTAAATGTTGAGGAAGAAAGGGAGGCGGTAATTTCATGCACTGGTCAGGGAGGTATACCATCTTTTAGGAGTGAAGAAGAGCAGAATGTAAGTGTGGTGGAGGTACGTGAGGCATTACGTAGAATGAAAGAGGGTAAAGCAGCTGGAACTGATGGGATCATGACAGAAATGTTAAAAGCAGGGGGGGATATAGTGTTGGAGTGGTTGGTACATTTGTTTAATAAATGTATGAAAGAGGGGAAGGTACCTAGGGATTGGAGGAGAGCATGTATAGTCCCTTTATATAAAGGGAAAGGGGAAAAAAAGAGATTGTAAAAATTATAGAGGAATAAGTTTACTGAGTATACCAGGAAAAGTGTGTGGTAGGGTTATAATGGAAAGAATTAGAGGTAAGACAGAATGTAGGATTGCGGATGAGCAAGGAGGTTTCAGAGTGGGTAGGGGATGTGTTGATAGTGTTTACATTGAAGCATATATGTGAACAGTATTTAGATAAAGGTAGGGAAGTCTTTATTGCATTTATGGATTTAGAAAAGGCATATGATAGTGGATAGAGGAGCAATGTGGCAGATGTTGCAAGTATATGGAATAGGTGGTAAGTTACTAAATGCTGTAAAGAGATTTTATGAGGATAGTGAGGCTCAGGTTAGGGTGTGTAGAAGAGAGGGAGAATACTTCCCGGTAAATGTAGGTCTTAGACAGGGATGTGTAATGTCACCATGGTTGTTTAATATATTTATAGATGGGGTCGTAAAAGAAGTAAATGCTAGGGTGTTCGGGAGAGGGGTGGGATTAAATTATGGGGAATCAAATTCAAAATGGGAATTGACAGTTACTTTTTGCTGATAATACTGTGCTTATGGGAGATTCTAAAGAAAAATTGCAAAGGTTGGTGGATGAGTGAGAATGTGTAAAGGTAGAAAGTTGAAAGTGAACATAGAAAAGAGTAAGGTGATGAGGGTGTCAAATGATTTAGATAAAGACGAATTGGATATCAAATTGGGGAGGAGGAGTATGGAAGAAGTGAATGTTTTCAGATACTTGGGAGTTGACGTGTCGGCAGATGGATTTATGAAGGATGAGGTTAATCATAGAATTGATGAGGGAAAAAGGTGAGTGGTGCGTTGAGGTATATGTGGAGTCAAAAAACGTTATCTATGGAGGCAAAGAAGGGAATGTATGAAAGTATAGTAGTACCAACACTCTTATATGGATGTGAAGCTTGGGTGGTAAATGCAGCAGCGAGGAGACGGTTGGAGGCAGTGGAGATGTCCTGTCTAAGGGCAATGTGTGGTGTAAATATTATGCAGAAAATTCGGAGTGTGGAAATTAGGAGAAGGCGTGGAGTTAGTAAAAGCATTAGTCAGAGGGCAGAAGAGGGGTTGTTGAGGTGGTTTGGTCATTTAGAGAGAATGGATCAAAAGTAGAACGACATGGAAGCATATAAATCTATAGGGGAAGGAAGGAGGGGTAGGGGTCGTCCTCGAAAGGGTTGGAAAGAGGGGGTAAAGGAGGTTTTGTGGGCGAGGGGCTTGGACTTCCAGGAAGCGTGCATGAGCGTGTTAGATAGGAGTGAATGGAGACGAATGATACTTGGGACCTGACGATCTGTTGGAGTGTGAGCAGGGTAATATTTAGTGAAGGGATTCAGGAAAACCGGTTATTTTCATATAGTCGGACTCGAGTCCTGGAAATGGGAAGTACAATGCCTGCACTTTAAAGGAGGGGTTTGGGATATTGGCAGTTTGGAGGGATGTGTTGTGTGTCTCTATACGTATATGCTTCTAAACTGTTGTATTCTGAGCACCTCTGCAAAAGCAGTGATAATGTGTGAGTGTGTTGAAAGTGTTGATGAAAGTATTTTCTTTTTGGGGATTTTTTCTTTTTTGGGTCACCCTGCCTCGGTGGGAGACGGCCGACTTGTTAAAAAAAAAATTGTATATATTTGTATATATTTGTGTATATTTGTGTATATATTTGTGTATATATTTTTGTATATATTTGTGTATATATTTGTGTATATATTTGTGTATATATTTGTGTATATGTATATATGTATTTGTGTATATATATTTGTGTATATATATTTGTATATATATATATTTGTATATATATATTTGTATATATATATATTTTTTTTCAACAAGTCGGTCGTCTCCCACCGAGGCAGTGTGACCCAAAAAAGAAAGAAAATCCCCAAAAAGAAAATACTTTCATAATCATTCAACACTTTCACCACACTCTCACATTATCACTGCTTTTGCAGAGGTGCTCAGAATACAACAGCTTAGAAGCATATACGTATAAAGATACACAACATATCCCTCCAAACTGCCAATATCCCAAACCCCTCCTTTGAAGTTCAGCCATTTTACTTCCCATTTCCAGGACTCAAGTCCAGCTAACCAGTTTCCTTGAATCCCTTAACAAAATATTACCCTGCTCACACTCCAGCAGCTCATCAGGTCCCAAAAATCATTCGTCTCCATTCACTCTTAATCTTAACACGCTCGCGCACACACTTGCCGAAAGTCCAAGCCTCTCGCCCACGTGTATATATTCAGCCCAGACTTGGTTAACCATGGCTAAAGTATGTTGGCAAAGGAATGTTGACGAATTTTCATTCGATTTATTTGACAGTATTCTGTATTCCACTCAATGGGGTCTGTTGTTGTTCACCTTAAACCACTTCTATTGTCTTTTTGTATTGGATTATTCCATTTACTTTTTTTAACATGCATACATAGGAACTATACACGCTCTCTTCAAATCCCTAGGTACCTTCCCCTTTTTCATACATTTATTGAACAGAAGTACCAGCCACTCCCATACTATATTACCACCTGCTTTTAACATTTCTCTTGATCCCATCAGTTTCAGCTGCTTTACCCCCTGTGGAAAATTTTATAGGGTGCTTACCTGTATGTACCTCAACATTACATGCTTACAAGTAAACTCATTGGGAGACAACCAGATTGTTTACCGTAGTCACCCCGTGTAGACATGTGAGAAAACTTAACCACCCCTGGTCATGGCAAGTGGTTCCTTCAACCTCACAATCTTATCCATATCTATCCGAGACCAGTATGGATTGGATAGCACCCACAAGTACGGTGCTACTAATTAATTGTGGACTGTATAGATTATATTAGGGTAGCTGAATGAAGGGGGGAGGGGTAGGTTACACATGGATATATCCATCAAGGAAAAACACTTGTACATAATCTCTCCACTTACCAGATATTCTCTGGTGGTCATTTGATGTAGCTGGATCACTCATAACCTATCCAATTAAAACATACCTAACTGGCCAGTATCAGTCTGTTATAACTAGAAGGGTTACTTAACTGTGGGTGATTGATACTCCTTATTTCCTCCATTCACCATCTCATTTCGATGTCCTGCTACACCGACACTGTTCTTATTCCAGCAGGACGAGGTACCCGTCGGTTTGTCCCGGTTTAGAAGTCGTGCTTCCATAAAGCTTCACTATCCTCGGTACGAGAATCACACATTCACTCGGAGCAGGGCGATCTATTTCACATCCCGCATTCTCTTAACTCAATGTTATTATCACTGATTACATTACCATTCACAAGAGGATTTAACGTCTCATAATTATTATACACATTAGAGATCACTCCATTAAGATCTGAGGCCGATGAGCGAGGATTAACACACGGGTATTTCCCCTGGACACACACCATGGCCGTGCACCAGTCACACCCGGTCAAACCATTATTCACTAATTTTACCACCTTTTTACGGTGGTCCCGTAAATCACGTTCCCTCACTCTTCACCAGGAACAGTTACGACACTTCCTATTATGAAATGAGGCCTATATTAATCCTTAGGCCGCCGTGAATGCCAATTTCGTGGTTCCATGCTTTCCCAGCCTCCTCACCACATTCAAAACACTCCCGCCTCCCCCATGGCCCGAGTCGACCTATACCCCCGCACATCCGCGCATGCGCAAAGGGAACTCTTGGTTCTACCCTATTGTCAAATACATTTTTGACTCGTATCGACACATTAAACACCTATTAGGCGCTATAGCTTCGGAAAATCAAAAATTTTCCACACCCCCTTTCATTTTGCCAGCTGCCTCGTACACCTATCCCACTCTCAGGTTTGGCTCTTCCTCACTCAGTGCTTGAAATCACTGCTTTGCTTTCAACAACATTTGACAGCATCTCAAGATATTTCTGCCATCTTCCCAATACCTCCAACTCCCTATCTAAAAACTCCTCTCTTCTATACTTTTAACTGTCATAGCCATTTGTTCCCTAGGCTTTCTCAACCTATTAATCTCACTCCAAAGCTTTTTCTTATTCTCAGCAAAACTTGTTGATAGAACCTCAACCTCCTTTATTTGCTCTTTTACACTTCCTTACCACTCTTTTAACCTCTTACTCTATATGCTAACTCGTATTGAAGCCCAGCCTTAACTACTGTGTACCACTTCCAAGGATAACCCACAACAGTCAATAAACACTCAGTTACACTATATATTTACTGCTAAGTGAACTAAGGCAGATGATGTAGGGAAACTTACCCACATGTCTTGCCCAGCCAGGAAATTGAATAGTGGTGCCTATCACTTGTGATGCAAACACTAAAATTAGTATTCTCATTATTTCCTAGGTATCTTCATTTTTCCTAGTACAGTGCAGAACTTCTGAACACTAGGGACCATCTTTTCGTTCTAATTTTTTGATATGTAGTCATTCGGCATGTAATTCCACAAAATAAATATCTTCAGTGTGACTTGCAAATTGCTCTGTTTACATATGACAATATGTATATTGTGAACGAGGAATTACCATTAGGAATGGTATGTCTCGTAATGGGAAATTTGCACAGAACCAACCCAGGTAAAATGAGGGAAACCTATAAAGTATTGATGCACTCAAAGTAAATATTTTTTTCTGTACCACAGTACATTATTCATTTCACTTCTGTACAAGAAGAGACTACATGTTATCAGCATCACAAGGTGTTCATTGGTAACATCAATATTTTTCCCAGCTAAGAATTATATTAAGCCATTATAATTGTGGAGTTCAAAGCCTGTGAGTGTCATTCGCACAAGGAGTCGTGGATCATTGAGTCTGTTTGCTCAGTAAGAGGCAGACAAACTACCTAGTTGTAATGTGCAATGATAAGTCGAGAGCTCTTCAGTGAAGGAATTAGAGCATCCCTTCCCTTCCATGGATCAAACCCTATCTGTATCTCGTTCCCCAGGTATTGTTTGACCTCAGAGTTTAGCATTTTCCCATGAATTTATATAATGTAGAGGGTCAGTAGGTGTAAATGTGTACTTCATCTATTTCAGGGTCTCAAAGTTGGATGGACGATGATGAGTTACGGCTTTTAAATAACATTAAGGCACAATTACCCCGGAAGGATAAAAAGATTTACCGCACAAGACTCGAAGAAATCGATTGGGAAGAAGCGGCATTTGGGAATTTTACAGCTGGCGACTGTAAAAGTCATTTTGAAGAAATTTTAACAGGGATTAAATCAGTGAAGTGAGTGAGATGTTCAACTGAATATTGTAAATACTTTTTTTTTTTTTAAGCTTTCATAACATAGCAAATAACCCAAAATTTGGAGAAGAAACATCACATGTTTCACTCTGCCCTAGCTGCTGTCCACTACTGGCTGAAATGTTGCTTTAAGGTTTCCTTTCTACATTAGGGGCTGTTTGGAGTTTAGTTTACAAACGAACCACAATACTTAGTGCTCTGACTAGGGCGCACTACCTAGAAAGATTGCTTCAATGTTCAATGATTGCATCAATGTTCAATGAGAGCAGTTTTGTATTCATGAAGTCCATGATTAGTGGTACTTTGATACTATTGAAGGGATCTTGATTTCAAGAATTTCAGATACCCCACATTGAAATTGCTTCCCTCACCCCAGGCATTGTAACCCCTTACAGGTTTAGTGCTTTCCCATAACTATAATATCCTTTGCTGCTCAGTTCCTGTCAAATATTTATTTATCCTTTTGTTAGTACACTCACCATGGTTTTGGCTGAGGTTTCAGAAAACCTGCCAGAACTCAAGTTAAAGATGAGAATCTAGTTACCTATTCATCGTTTCCAAAGAGACGCTTTGGATAGAGGTCATAAGCAATTCACCAGTTGGGTAAGTTTTCTCAAGACCTGAGTTAATTATTTCTGTAAACATGTTGGATTTACAAGGGGGAATTTAAGGTCTTAGTCGGCTTAGTTAACTGACATGGGAAATGGCTGTCCTATAAACTTTTAAACCTGTATATTCAAATTCAAAGTTTAATCTCTATAAGGATTACAATGCTGAGTTTACAGAATTTGGTTATTGAGTGGTTTACATGTAGTAAAATAATGATTACAGAGTGTACCACTAGAACACCTAGCATGGCTAGGCATTTCGGGCAGACTTAGTTTAATTCTTAATTTTAAAATATTACAAATTATGAGGTAAGTTGGTATTATGGCTAAGTGACTAAATACTGTACTAGTTTGTGAGTTTAGCAATGTGTATGCTTTTGTTTTGGCACAGTACATAGTTTCAGTATTGGAGTATCACAGGATTCATAATTTTAAGATAGATTAATATTTCTGTTTATGGTCAAATGGGTGAGCGAGTGTAAGTGTGAACCACCAGGTGGTATTCGTGTAGTTAGTTGACAGGGTGTATCAGGGAGATGAGGTGTTTTCTAATGGTAGTTTTGAAGGTGATGAATGTGTCTGCAGTTCTAGAGTTGTCGGGTAGGGTGTTCCAGATTTTAGGGCCTTTGACATGCATTGAATTTTTGTAAAGGTTTAGTCGGACATGGGGAATGTCGTAGAGATGTTTGTGTCTGGTGTTATGCCTGTGGGTTGTCACAACTATCAAGAAAGCATTTTAGGTCAAGGTTGATATTGGAGTTTAAGGTCCTGTAGATATAGATTGCACAGTAGTAAGTGTGGATGTACTGAACAGGGAGTAAGTTTAGATCTATGAAGAGAAGGGGGTTGTGTTGCCAGGGATGGGATTTAGTGATTATTCTTACTGCAGCTTTTTGTTGGGTTATTATTGGCTTTAGGTGTGTTGCTGCAGTTGATCCCCAAGCACAAATAGCATAGGTGAGGTATGGATAAATGAGTGGTATAGTGTGAGAAGGCCATTTTGCGGCACGTAGTATCGTATCTTGGAGAGGATCCCAACCGTTTTGGATAATTTTGGTTATGTGTTGGATATGGGTGCTGAAATTCAGGTTGTCAATGTATAGGCTTAGGAATTTGCCCTCATTATGTCTGGTAATTAGTGTTGTCGATCTTAATGTTAATTTGTGCATCTCCTGCTCTGCTACCAAACATAATATAGTAGATTTTGTCAGTGTTAAACTAAAGTTTATTGGCTGTCATCCAAGTCGATATTTTGATCAGCTCCTCGTTAACAATGGTGTTGAGGGTGGCAAGATTAGGGTGAGAGATGACATAAGTCGTGTCGTCAGCAAAGAGAATGGGTTTCAGATGTTGGGATACGTTTGGAAAATCATTGATGTATATGAGGAAGAGCAGGGGACCAAGGACACTTCCCTGCGGAACTCCAGTATCAAGTGGCGTGTTTTTGATGCGTGT